GCAGGCGTCTACGGCGAGTCGAGAGGTCCAGGCAGCCGACAGTAAAATCGATGGAAACCTGCAAAAGCAATGGGTTGCGGCTTGCGGGTGCCGGGCTTCAGGCGGATGCCAGCCTGACAAGAAGTTGCCACACCAGGAGAACAGCTGCGACCCCAAGAGCCCAATTCCAGGAGGCCTCCGCTAAAACATGCAGAGGCTTTCACCCAAGCACAGCCAAACATACTCGGACCTCTCGTAATCATAGCGAAAGACCAGCACCGCAGCCATACCTCAAGAGCCACTTCCTACTGGATGCCTTGGTAACTGTCGCCTTTGCAATGCGTTGGTCTGCGCCACCAAGTTGCGATCGTAGCGACGGTTTGCTGCAGTGCGGTGCAGGAGCCTGGCAAAAGAGGGCCCACAGGCCCACAACACCCAGCACGGCAGCACGGGACCGGTTTCCGGCTTGAAGGAGCCTCGAGTCGTACAAGAAGGCATCTCCTGGCTCCAGAGTCACAGCCTGGTCGGGAAAGGCTGCGTTGAAAGAACATCTGCAGCACAAACCAGGGCGCGCACGGGTCGAGAATTTGCCAGCAGCAAGGAAGACATGAAGGCACGCGTCTTGGCGAAGAAACCCAGCTCCTCCAACCCCAAGCAAGGGCTTTGGGCTTTGATGGCTTTGAAGCATGGAGGAGTGGAGGAGCGATGATTTGCATCTCCGCTGTTCCAACAGCCGCAAAGCAAGCCAGAAGACCGTGGGATAGAGACCCTAGCAGGACCCTGGAAGCCGGCGAACTACACTTCGACTGAGCAATCCAAATCTTTGGCACTGGCATTTTCTCAGTTGTCAACGAAGCGTGTCAAAAAGAGCGATCACGGAGCATGGCAGCTTTATGTCCTCTTGTGTCAAAGAACAAAACACTGCGCACATCTGTACACGTTCATTTATTCCACGGGAATCTAATTTTGACCGAAGTTCCGAGCCGCTAAGGACGGGTGCAAGCCAAGCCCAAGCGACTGCGGTCGCCACTTCCGCACAGAGCCAAGTCCGCCCCGAACCCGCGAGGCTCCGCCAAGCACAGCAATCGCAGGCAGCTCTGCCGCAGGAGGTTGCTTCTTATCTGCACCGTGTTGGTCACTTCCGGAACTTAACCATTAACCAAGAAGTTTTCGAGAAGCTTCAATTATCCCGGCGCGTCCTGGCTCAAGACTGCGTGCACGACGAAGAAAATTCTGCAGTTCTGTCACGTCCCAAACAGGCTCGGCTAGGATCGGAATTGTGCGACGAATTTCCGGGTAGCGTGCCTCCTGAAATGTTGGGTTAGCCCGTTTCGGGCTCCGTCATGGCTGGCCAAGGTTTAGCTTGTGACGTCTTTGCAATCAATACGTCGGCTGCTCCCTGTGTTCCATGTTCCGGGCCGAACTTCGAACCAAGACTCTCTTTGCGTTACATTTGCTTCATGGGTGTCGGCGGTCCTGTCCGAAAAGACGATGGGAGCCGGGCAGCACCAAGGTGGCACCCATGTCCTGGACGCGAGGTTGAGGCACTGCATGAAGTCTTCATGCACGTAAAGCCACGATGTACAAACCTCACTCGGCCGCGTGGGCAAACACAAGAGAGCCTCTGGAACGGCAGTCAGAGGTACCACCAGAGTCAAGCCGGGAGCTGTGTTGTCCATGTGCCAGAACCTCAGAACTCAGCACTCCATTCTCCACTCCGCTCACTCGACCTACCTTGCAATGGGAAACAGGCTGGTCTGTGGCACAAGGATCCGAGGTCATCAGCTGGACCTACAATGACGCCGTCATTCTTCATGACAACTTGCGCTTCCTGATAAGGCCTCAGAGACATACGGCTTCGTCGTCTGCAGGAAACCTGCCTTGTCAGGTTCCGAATCACGCAACGCACATTGGACGCAAAAAGAGACTGGTTGACATGAGTTCCCTGCCGCGGTGTGCTGGCGGCACAAGACCTCCCAAACCTGTGAAGCACTTCGGCAGAGCACGGATGACACCGATGGCTTATGCTTCCAGCCGAGAAAAGTGATGTCTGCTGTTCACATCGGGCAACCAGCGGAATGGCCGCCCTTTGCGCTGCCCGCACGGCCTGCTAGTACACCCTCACATCCCTCAGGATAGATCTTTGAAGGCTCTGTGCCTCTTCGAAGATTCTCCCACGAAGGTAGTAGTGTTGTCGACCGGGTGCCGACATCTGGCCATCAATTCAATTTGCTGGTGGTGCGAGTATTGCGAGTGTCTGGATGTCTCTGCGAGCGCACGAAAGGTTCGAGTTCCTCATCCTCGGCCTCACAGGCTCTGCAGCGCAGTGCAGTGCCCATGCATGGAGGATGGTCTCTTCTTAGCCTTGCAGTGACGCCTTGCCTGCAGAGCTTCATGATTGAACTCACGCACGGGCACCACTTCTGGAGGGCATCTACCTGACACGAAACGCAACAGACATGCCCGTGTTAGCAATACATTGCCCGGGAAGCTAGCTTCGAGCGATGTCCATCGCACTACTGTGGAGGTGGACTCGCTCGCGCAGCTCGCCCACCTCTTGCTTGGCCGTCGCACGAAAAACACCCCTTCCTGCCTCTTATACCTGCAGCAACACAAGAAGCATCAAGGATGAGGAGGCGGCCTCCTTCAATGTTAGCATTCCTCTCAACACTGCCACACCGTGCCTGAGTCCCAGGAGATGGGCTCACATCGTCAATCGGTCGGAGGGGCCGGGCCTTTCCAAAGCATCGGCGGCGGCGGACCATTCCTGCAGAAGACGACCACTTTCATGCATTTTTGCATGTTCCAGCTGGGCGATGCTCCAGGGTCCTCTGGAGGGAGAAACCGCGGAACACTCGCAGGATCTGTGTCAACCTGTCTCAAAATAACATACACACTTACCGTCGGCCGAACGCAGCAAGACTTGACGAAGATTGCAACACCTGCACATCTTTCTCTCTCGATTGCGGAAGTCCTGATCTGCACTGTATACCTGGTGCGATACAAAGCCTCTCGGAGGCCAATGGCGTCTCGCCACTTGCGATCCAAGGATTACGAAAACAAGATCACGGCCGCAACCTAACATGCATGATGAGAAAGCAGGGAGCACGGAATCACACGGTATAGCCAAGCAGATCCGAATGCTCTCGCTGTCGAAAGGCCACAAAAAAGGACCGCCCCGATTTAAAGATCGCGCAGGCAATACTGTGCCATGTCTGCGACACTGTGCTTGCCTTCTCCGTCTCTGCGAGAAGACACAGGGGCACCTTGGCAGTTGCACTGCAAAGAACTCCAGCCCAAAGCTCGGATGCAGCTCGCCTCGCTGCCGATGTCTCGTCCGTAGGACTCATCGATCTACCAGGGCGAGTGGACATCACAAGCCCGAAACAGTGGGAGCCACAGCTTGATGGCAATTGCCTGCGTCACGAGGTCGATCCCTGAGTTGGCGGCCCGCGGCCTGCAGGTCACGCACCATGAAAGTGGCTGTGTGTCTAGAGGGGTGAGAGTCCGATGGAACTGCCGGAGATGCCTAAAGTGACTGGTGTCTCACGTGCCGCATTCATCCAGCAACGTGAGCAACAGACTATCCAGAATCAGCAGCGAGGATTGTGCCAAGCATGAGCAGTCCTCTTTGCTTCAAATGGTTCTCGGAAGAAGCCAGCTTGCCTCCACTCCTGAACTCGCCAAGAAGAGAAGCTCAATGTTACTTTTGCAAGCTTGAACGTCACGCTTGCAGTACTTGTGCGTTGCACATGCATTGTAACTGGTGCCCTCGCTCCTCAACCAATCGCGCATAGAGCGCTCGAACATCCTCATTGAGACGACGGAGATGCAAGCACATCGTTGTAGCTCACGGTACGAGGCTCGAGTCCTGGATCTGTTGAAGCTTCCTTTCTTCTAGCTGGCAGCGCATGAGATCTCTCCTGCAGCTGTCCCAAGGCACGCCGGTCTGCTGCAATGCGTCTCGAAGACTGTCTCGCTGCAGGCACCCCTAAGCCATCAGCTCGATGGGCCCGCGAAGCCGACGTGCAGCGAGCCGCAGCGCAGCGACCTCCGCTGCCTCTGCACCGGCCTCAAACATGCTCCGAAAGATGCAAAGGGATTGAAGGGCACACGAAATCAGGCTCTGCGTGGGCTGCCGACACTACGGAGTCGCTCCGCCACTCCTGTGCTTTCAGGCATCCCCCCTACTGATCCCGCAGAGGCGTGCTCCTGGCAGCGTATCAGCCGCGCACCTGCAGTGCCACAGTGTGAGAATCGGGGAAGAGCGGTCAGGGGCCAGTCCGGTCAAAAGGCGGCCTGAAAGTGCAAGATGTCGCAAGAAGGTCAGCTTTTGGAGGCACCTTGGACGTAGGGCCATGGCCTGAGATGGCCTGAGGCTCGGGTCCCTGCCTGCTGCTTCCACAAGATGAGCGCGCCTGAAAGGGCCACAAACGGAGTCGTGCTTTGCTCTCGGCTCTGCCGGGCTCTGCAGCGGCCTGTGCTCAGAGCGCTGGCCGCCACAAACGGAAGAGATCGGCGACCAAGACTTTGCCAGTCGATTTTCTGCGCACGTTCCGGAAACACTTCCCAGCTAACGGATGTGGAACAAGTCTAAGTGCCTACCAAGCCCTGCGAGGTCAAGCAATCTGGTATGACAGTTCATGGGAATCCGTCCATCTTCGAGAAGTCGTGCCATGCTTTGCGGAACTCCAGCGTGACGCCCTCAGTCCAATTCGTGGGAATTGCACATTGATCCTACAGTCTGCAGGCAAACCACAACGGTGCAAAGAAACCGCCTCCATGACAACGAGCGTCCAACCCCATAGCACAACTGGACTGTAATGCCACTGGCGCTGCACAGAAGTGTCACTACGTATGCTGTCTGGAATGCATCTGCCAGACTGCTGCAACGGCCTATCCAACAGTGACGAGTGCCGCTCGCAGCGCGTGACGCAGAAGTGCACTAGTGCGACGGCATCATGCAGGTTCTGGGGTGAGGCAATGTCGGTGGTCTATAGGATACACGTCGAGTTGTCTCTGATCAAGCTGCTTCAGCCAAGCAGGGCTGGCTGGAAGAGTTCAGACATGAGAGCAAGCTACATGTTACAGGGGTCTTCATCGCCAAGAACAACCATACCAATCGTGCATATTTGCACCCTCACAGCTTTCGACCCGGTTGAGAAACTACGCACGTTCTGCTTGCATGCGTTGATCGCCGCGTTGTAGCTGTATTCATCTGGCTGCATACGCAGATTTTCAACGTCCCCGAGGAGCAGCAAACAAAGCTCCCACTTTCCGCCAGATTCCAGAGCTGCCATCATGGCATTGAATGGAATTGCGTCTTCGAACAAACGCATGTCAATGATCGTCCTTAATAAACAAAGTGCACCAGGCCACTCGTCTGCCTTTGCATAGGCACTGATCGCTGCGTTGTAGCCGATGCAGCTGGCTTGCCTTCTGTGACGACAGCTGCCCAGCAAGGCCTGTGCCAGCTCCCACTTCGCCGACTTCTCACAGGCACTGATGACACCGTTGTAGCCAATCTCGTTAGCTACCGCTAGCTCCGCTCGCTCCGATCGCTGCATCTGCAGCAATGACCACTCCCAGTGATAGGCCTTTTCGCCTGCACTGATAGATGCACTGAGGCTAAATGCGTCCACACCCAGGCTCATCTCGCTGGCAGAATGCAGAAATTGAGATGCCAGCTCCCATGCTCGCTTCTCACAGGCACTGGCTGCTGCATTGTGCATCACAAGATCGCTTTGTACAGCCACGACATGTGAATCATGCAAGAGCCTAAGGGCCCATTTCCATTCGAGTTCTTTCTGGCTGGCGCTCAGGCAGGCAGTCTGGCTCCGGATATCTGGCTGCAGGTTGTAAGCCCTGATTCTCCTTGCAAGTTGTAGCGCTACAAGCCAGTCTCCTTGCCGCTCACAGCTGTTGAGCACAGCGCCCCAAGTTACTGTATCTGTAAGGAGCGTGAGTGGCTTCAGATTCACCAGAACCTGCGCAACATACTCCCACCCGCGTGATCTGCATGCACGGAGAGCGGCATCCAAGCCTTGCTTGGCAAGATCACTCACGACACCGACCTGTTTCGCAGTGAAGTGTGCTATTCAAAAAAATCTCATCCTGAAGCAAAAGTCTTTCAAATGGAACTTGGCCGCTAACCTTATCTTTTTCAATGCCCGCGGCCGACATCTCTTGAACCGACGCAGTCGCTAACCTCGGAAACAATCTGGCGGGCCGTAGAAATCCAAGACACCTCAGCCACGCATACCTTTGACACCGAGGGGCTCCCAGCTCTGCGATGTCTCCAATGCCGCGACTACTGAGCCGCAGGAGATCCTGTTGGGGCGAAGCTGTCGGACCTCTGTTGTCAATGTCTAAAAAAGTGCGCTCATAGCAGGACACGCCACACACAGTCCTAGGCAACAGAATGCTTTCTGCCCGGGCACCAGCATCTGGCCAAGGACCTGCAACCCAACCATCCAAGAGCCCGGAAGGCCCTGGCAAACACTGAGCACAGAGCTGCAGCAAATCGCATCTGGCCTAGGAGATGGCAGTTTAGACAGGAAGATGGAGAGCTGCCTCTTCATCTAGAGTCATGTCGTTGGAATCTGCGCAACGACCTGTTCTGCAGACCGAGCAGCAAGAGGCTGCGGGCACACATCTTGTCAATACAGCCTGACAAACGTTGGGAAGAAACATGCAAGCAACTCTCTCATGCGTCTAGTTTCTGATAGAATATTCCAGAGCGGGATGTTGTACGTTCAACCGAGTCCCGGCGAAACTGGTAGACGGTCGAAGAAGTTTCCGACACGAATAGAATATTCCAGAGTGGGATGTTGTACGTTCAACCGAGTCCCGGCGAGACTGGTAGACGATCGAAGAAGTTTCCGACACGAATTGAAAAGTTCCTCAAAGCTTTCTGAGAGCCCCTTCGGCCTCAAGCCGAGCGGATTTCGAAAGCTACCCGATGCAAAGCCCTCCTTCCGGTTCCTGCCATTATGCCTTGATTCCGCGGCTGCTTTAGAAGTGAGAGCAGCATCGATTGCAGCAACTCAATTTGGCTGCACGTGGAATCAAAACGAGTGAAGGCACTTGTTGCAGGCCGTTGTCCCGCAGTGCAAGAGGGACCCTTACGGGTCAACACTTGCAGATGCGAAGCCTGATGCCGGGAGCCTTGGTGCTGCAGCTGTCCGTACGAATGCGTGTCTAGTTGCAATTCGTTTCTTGGTTGTCTTGGATTGTACAAGCGAGGCTTCCATTTCCGCGACACGTTACCAAGGGCTTCCTGCACTTTATACAAAACAAAACCTTTGCTTCCTGAAACTAACCGGAGAAACGCTCTAGTTCCTCAGCTTTGTATTGTGGAAACCTGCATCCGTCTTCGCCCCAGCATGAACACCTCTATGTGTCTTCGTGGTTGCTGCTTTGTTTTATTCTTTTTCTGCAGTGCTCCTGCGATGGGTTTCGAATGGGTTGAAAAGGATTTTGATGCAAAGCAACCTTGCCATTTCGGAGAGCGATTACAGGAAGCCCACAGGCGTAGCCCAAAACGTGTGAAGCCGCCCTAACGAACGCAGTTGTAAGTGTGGCTAGTCTTTTTCGGATTTCCCGAACAAGACTTCCACTTCACTTCCCCACAACCCGTTGTCATCATAGCCCTTTTTGATTTCGTCAATTTTGCAGGGGAACACCTCTGGTTCCTGCCAGAGAGTGGGGGGGGGCATAGTATCTGACGGGCAGCATCTAAAAATATTCAAATACCTGACTGGCGGAGCAGGTGTAGGCAGATAGGTAGGTACAGATAGATACACAAATAGATGAATGGAAAGATAGCTAGATTGCTAGATGGGTACATAGGTAGGTAGAGACCTAGAGATGGATGGATGTATGCATGGATAGACAGATAGCTAGATAGATAGATAGACAGATAGATACATAGGTAGTCATGTACAGGTAGATAGCCTAGAAAAACATGGGGGATGGGGCGGTGTTAAGTTGCTGGCGGGCGAGGTTGCTAACGGACGGAGGGCCGCGAACCCCACCGGGGAGGGGGCGGGGGCTGCCGGATAGATACATAGACTCTGACATGCTGCATTTGGAAGTAGGTCGATAGGTAGATCATGAAACGTCTAGCTTTCCGGTTGCTGCCATGCGAAATTTCCGAGAGCCAGTAGTACCTGACAGGCTGCAGTTGGGTGGATGGGTAGATAGATACAAGGATAGATTGGTAGATAGGTAGTTAGACTAGACGCAGCAGCAGCAGCAGCAGCAGTAGCAGCGGTATCTGTAGGGGAAGCACTATCGCTTCCAGTAGCAGCCGTAGTAGTCGTCGTCGTCGGCGGCGTCGTAGTCGTAGTCTGTCATAGTAGTAGTTTTTGTCACCCTAGTAGTAGTAGTAGTAGTAGTAGTAGTAGTAGTAGTAGTAGTAGTAGTAGTAGTAGTAGCAGCAGTAGTAGTAGTAGTAGTAGTCAACAACCAGCCCTGGCCCAGCAGCCGCAGTCCCCTCCAGTCCATGAACATGCCAGTGCCACGTCAGCAGCCCTCGCCCTAGGACTGATTCCGCGTCTGCAGCTCTACTGCTGGTGCTTCTGCTACTGCTACTGCTACTAGGCAAGCAATGTAGCAGCAGCAGCAGCAGCAGCAGTAGCAGTCGCAGTCGCAGTGGCAGTGGCAGTGGCAGTGGCAGTGGCAGTGGCAGTGGCAGCGGCAGCGGCAGTAGCAGTAGCAGTAGTAGCAGTAGAAGACGAAACAATACTAACAATCGCAAGAAGAATGATAATACCGAGCGAAAAGGCACGAGTAAGATCACAAGCGATATCAATCATCATACGTCATGCCAGAGGCAGAGCAGTACTAAGGGCAATGATAGACCAGCTGTTAGCAAGTAGTAGTAGTAGTAGTAGTAGTAGTAGTAGTAGTAGTAGTAGTAGTAGTAGTAGTAGTGGTAGTAGTAGTAGTAGTAGTAGTAGTAGTAGTAGTAGTGGGAGTAGTAGTAGTAGTAGTAGTAGCAGTAGTAGTAGTAGTAGTAGTAGTGGTGATAGTAGTAGTGGTGATAGTAGTAGTAGTAGTAGTAGTAGTAGTCGTCGTCGTCGTTGCGGCGGGGTTGGAACTAGTCATAGTCACAGGAACTATAGTGGAGGCGAATATGACAGTGAGAATAGCAGTGCTCCAAAATGGTGGTAGTGCTTGTGTCAAGAAAATAAGACATTAACTTCCTAGTACTTAGCCTTTTGTGCTTTTTCCTTACCCGGAGGTCATCGGCCATTGCTGCTTCACCAATTTATGATAAGAATTGGCAATGGGTCATTCATCAGCACCTCGTAATTAGTAATGGCAATGTCTTGGCGCTGTTTCTTCCTTCCTTCGTTTCTTTGCTTCTTCCTTCGTTCCTGTGCGTCCTCCTTCATTCCCTCCTTCATGGCTTCCCCCGACATACAAATGAAAAAACACAAAATGCATGAATCCAGTCAGCCAAGCGAGTGGTCAGCAAAGGCAAAGGGCTGTCAAGAGCCGTCGGGAAAACTTGGGGCTGTGTGGAGCGAAGAAGCTGGCAGAGCTTCGTGACAAGGCGTTGAAGCACGCTGTTTTCAGCGCACATGTGTAAAGTAAATTGGTCCGCGGGCGACGAGTAGCCGATTTAGTTGTGGCGGTGGGACGGCGTGCTGTGCCAAGGGTCCACGTCTTTTGGTTGGACATTTACGGCCGGTCTTGGGGCCGTCCACTAGACCTGGAATTTGCGCGTTGCAAAGGATGCATTCAGCTGAAGCCGCGTTCCGACCTGCATCTGTCATTGTGCTATCAGCGCGGGCGCACTGCATTGTGTTGGCCGGCGATGAACAACCGAGCTCAGACATGATTCGAGTCAAGATGACGAAAGCATCGCAACTTCGGCTTCTGATTCGGAAAGCAAAGCCTTTATACTATCCTTTCCTGGGTCCTTTGTCGCAAGCGAAGCGCTGGAACAATTCCTTTATGACTTGTCTTTGTCATTAGCTCCAAGCCTGTGAGCCCCCCCCTGAGGAATGTTCTGACAAAGGGCGAGTCTGCGAAACGTGTGCAGATTCTGTGGGACAACACTTGCAGTACGATTCGGGCACTTTCCTTTTACGTCTTTCTTTGGTCAAGAGCCTTAAACAAGAAGGCAATGACTCAACCTTACGGGCAAGCTCAAAAAAACTGCGTTGTGTTCAAGGGTAGTCAAGAGGCCCAGAGCTGAAGCCCACCTCTTCATCTGCGAAGATAGTTTCATAGCAGTGGTGAAAGTCACCAACCCACATTGGACGCGAACAACATGCATCCCACGAAGAACTTCCAAAGCCAGCGTCCAGCGGCGAGTCGAGGCGCTAATGGCTGCATGGTATGTGCTTGTATCAAGGCGTCGCTCACCCTGAACCACTTGCAGTGCTTGCAAGGCTGCAGGCCAGCTTGCTTTGGCACACACACCTAAGCTCAAATTCAAGCCCTGTGGATTCGGAAAGTGATATTGTTGCTTCGGCTTACTCATCGCAGACCATTGCTTCAAAGTCGCGTATGAGAGTGTTGTAGCTAACAAGGTTAGGGAAGATTCGGCGGAGCTGCACCCATTGCAGGTGGTGTAGAGCTAGCTCCCACTCGGAATGTGTGTATGCACTAAGCGCAACATTCTCGTGGAAGACGTTGACTTCGACTCCACGATGCCGCACAAAGCAGAGCATGTCCTTTCGCAAAGACACACAACAGATCCGATCATGGAACGAGTGAAAGGATTGCCTCATCGTGCACCTCCTCTAAAGCAAGGGCCCGCACTCGTGTTGTCCAACCTCTCAACGGATTCTTCGTGGCCTTTCTGCCGTCTCCGGCATCGCAGCGTCGAAACGAACGTTCGAGTATGCTATGAGAAAGGCTCTCAGAACCTTGTGGTTGTCTAGCTGCCTGCACAGTGGATTGCAGAGGTGGCCGCACGAACGAGCATCAACCCTGAGGTGTCCTGAAGCACTGATGCTCGGCGCCAGCATGTGGAAAGTTGCTGTAGAAAAACGGTAACAGTCTTTGGCTGAGCTCCTTAGCTTCAAAGTCTCAGCCAACATCAGCTAAGTTGGAGATTGTATGTGGCATGTCGGCTGCTAAACTTGTACAGGCTGTTGTTATGCGAAGGTGCCATCAGTTTCAAGTAGCTTCCATTGCTTCTTGCCCCATGATCCACCCTGCGCGTTGCCATGGTTTGGATCGGCAACGTCTGCAGCGTCCACGGCGCACATTAGCCGGGATCGGCATCCGTGTCGCCATCATCATGTGGCTGAGCAAGACCTACTTAGAGATTTCAAACAGGGCCTCAACCCTTCACCTGTCTTGAGCTTCCGGCTCTGCAGTCATGTCGGAAAACAAAAGATCGAAACTCGCAGCATCTAGCTCACATGCACAAGCAGGAATAAACGTAGTTTTCCATCAGGGGGCGCTGCCCAACAGCCTACCGACGGCACCGAACGTCATCTGCGTCCCCTGCCAAAGCGGTCGGCAATCATCTGCAACTGCTGAACCGCATACGGTAGGACGGTTTGTCTACGAAACGCCTGGCTCATGCAGAGCATGTCGGCATGGAATGTGTGCGACACAAAGCTTCTGACTGCATCCAACAGCTGGCCTCGCATGTTTGCGTGCCTCTGCTTTGGCTGATGCACTAACTTCTTCGTTGCGTGCCTTCTTTCCCTCCAGGATTCAAACGGATATTCACATGATCGTATGCCTTGTCTCGGAAATGCATACGACCGCGCCTTGACCATGGAACGAATGCTAATCGAAGTTGACGCTTCCATGATCTCACTTTTCGTCTTCTTCCCCTCCTGACAGAACGCAGCCGTGCCCAGAAGAGAGCCTCAGTATCTTGCATCCGCGTTCGGTCCTTCGGCCCCTCTTGAGCTTCCAAAAGTGCTTCGACTTTGAAGCCGCTGAGCAGCAGTTTAGCCGAAGCACCTCGAGGCTACATGTACCGCAGCCAAGGAGGTGTTCGTGAGTTGCATGTAAGTCGCTTGTGCCGGCGTGTTTCTCTTCTTCCTCGATCTCTTGGAGGACCTCTTCCTCCGTCATGGCGGCAAGCCGCTGCCTTTGTTGCCGCGCCTGTTAGCATAAGTCACAGTGTCGAAACGCCTGAGGCTCGGAACACGGCCCGCCTTTTCTGTTCGGGACTGGTGCTGGACAGCGGGCTTGTCTTCGACGTAGGCACGACCCATGGCTCCACGTCGCCTAGGAAAGCACAGGCTAAGGCTCGGCTGACTGCGCTGCCCGGGCCTCTGAGGCGGTTGGCTCCTCTGGCGCTCCTGCTTCTCCTCACGGAAGCAGAAGCAGAATGCTTCGTGCACTTCGCGTCTCGCTCGCTTCACCGTGGGCGTCGCCCTGCCTGCCGGCTCTTGTGCCTGTGCCAGGCATGCTGGAACTTCTTCAGGCTGTGTGGGCGCAGGTCATCCTCGGGGAGAACAAACATAGTGGCCATGACACCCTCCGGCGCCTCGCACAGCCCGTCCTTTCGACGCATCATCATCGTTTTCAGATGCGCAAAGAAATCCAACGAATCCAACTGAAGAACTTCAGCCTCCAGGCAAATTGGTGAGCTGACTGCCCCTGGCCCATCCGAATGAATCTGCAAGAGCTGCCAAGCCTTTGCAAAGATGGATGCGATCTGCGGTAGGGTCACATTGGGATTCCCCACAAACCTTCATCCATTCTGTGGGCACGGAGTGCAACCACTCCCGGAAATTTCGACAGGATCTATGCAACAAGATCGAGCAACCACTCGGATAGTGTGACATCTGGGCTCGTGAAGGCGCGGCAAGCATAGTTGGCAACGTCCTCGAAGAACCTGGAAATTGATGAACAAGTACAGAAGGCCGCAGCAGAGAAGAGACTGGCAAAGTACGATCTCGTCAGGAGTTGCACTGGTGACTAGTGGTACTGTACAGTGAAAACCTGACGAAACACTCAGTGAACCGCTGACCCGTACACGGTATCAGTAGATTGGGTCGATTACAGCCTCAACAATTCTGTCGGGTCACTCGCGGTCGACCTTGTGCAAATCCACGAAGGCTTTGCAAACGAGCACCAGGTCCTGCAAGATCCCCCATCCATCCAAAATCATCCAAACCGAACATGCAAGCCGAAGCGTGACATCTAAGTCAGTGTAAGTCCTGCAAGGCGAAGGCAACTGCTGGCAGTTTGTTCCCGGAGCTGCTTGTGACAGGAGCGCAAACATCGGGAACTAGCTCCTGAGCCACAACAGTGACCCTATTACGACGAAGGCTGATACTGCTTTCAGCACTGCACCTGTCGCAAGGGGCAGTCCATGAGCGACACTGCCCGCAACATCAGCACCTTCGACGAATCGATGAGAAGCACAAGCACACGCTTACGCTTTCATCGCAACACAGGTGGCACTTAGCAGCATCTGGACGCCGCTGCGTGCTAGTCACCAGGGTATTCGACTTGACTTGCTCAATAGCTCACGGAGTTCTTCGCAAAACACGACTCAGGCAAAGAAACTGCAATATGTGCGACATGGACGGTGGCGCCACCTGCCTCAAAAAGGTCGTCATCAAGAATCTTGGCAGTTGCAAAAGCCACTACGACGTCAGTGATAACCTCGGTGCACTGTGCTTGGCTGTGGTTGCTCACACACGTCAATGTGGGTGCAATGGCATGGCCTGACAGACCAAGGCGCTTTAGGAGAGAGGCTGAGATTTCCTTCCTTGAGCTTGGAACGTCGAATGCACTCCTCATCAAACAGTGCAAGCTATACGTGCCGCCGTCTGCAGTGAGGCTGGCCGATCCTGCTTGACAACGCTGAAAAGCCCCGGGTTCTTGATGCCGGCCTGCAGCAAAACTCCGCGATCATCTTAGACACATCCGCCGGCACATGCTACCGTACGCTCTGATGACCGGAAAGAACTCGTCTGCGGCATGGAAGCCGGAGCTGGTCAATGAAGCATTCGGGCTGCAAAGAAGCATCCCCCCCCGGTCTCAAGACTGCGCAAGTTCCAATTACAAATGTCATCGCCGAACGACCAGCGCAGCATTCCAAGGCAAACTTTCCCTGATGCTCGGACAAAAAATGTCACAACTGCCACAACTGCGCATGAAACTATAATGGCCATGCATCACTGTATGCTGCTATAGAAACACTCATGTCGACAAAGTTCAAGAAACACTAACTCCCTAACACATCAATCTTCTGTTTGAGACCTAGACTCCGCATCCGACGAGCCGGCGAATTCATGAACTTCTGTTGCAAGTTCACTCGTTGAGCAAGAACCTCGAAGCCTCGCGAAGCGGCCTCCCGAATTCATGTACCTACAGCCAGTTGCAAAACCAACATTGTACTGCTGAATCACAACACTGCGCTATATGCCATGCCCAACTAGTCGTCACTGAATCGATCAAACGGCATGCCTGGACCGCACCAAAAGCCTTGACTGTGTTGTGCAATGGACTACCCGTTCCCATTTCAACATGAGAAGTTCCGAATGTATAGGCCACGTGAAAGCAAGCGTGGCAAGGTAGAATGATCTGAGGTCATGGACAAGTCTTCCTACATCCAGCCGAAATGCGGAAATGTTTGTCAGCGTGTTTTGCAGTGCATAGCGGGACATCTCGTGCGTGTAGGGGGGTGAGCCACGTAGACTCGAAGACTCATCACCGTGCCTTGGCAAAAACGTAGACTAATCTTCCAAGTCCATCTCTGTCCAAGCTAGTGATCCTCTCGGCCACGTACCGAGCAACCTGACATCCACGCAAATGGAAGTGTCGATGAGCATTTTGCAGCAACCTGCAGTAGCTGCCGCCAGCCTCCTGAAAGATAAAGTTGACAACATTATTCGACTCCATCATTGTCTGCAACCTCGCCCAAAAGGTGCATGCACTCAGATTGGATTACATGGCCTGGCGCAAGCCAAGGGAGGGGAGGGAGGAGAGGGGAAGAACACCACCGAGCAATGATTTTCAGCAGTGTCAAACCCGGCCCACCCAGCCGCCCATCTAAAATCTCGAACTCCAGGGTGTGCCTGCAGGCTAACCTCAAGCCTAGACGGATTGACCTTGCTTGCAACAGGACGAAGCGCATGTACACAGCCGCCATGGGGTGTATTTCCGGCAGCCTTGCCCGAAAACTGGCCTGGCAAACATCGCACCTCTGCCTCACCGCACCTCTACACCTCGACAGCAAAAGGGAATCCTTGTCCTCGGAATCGTTCAAAAAGTCGAAGAACTGCTTTCCAGCATAGCCTCGCAGTGCTGGTCACAAAAACTGGCACTCGAACTTGCCTTCTGAAGAATCTGACCCGAACGAAATCTCAGAAATTCTGCTGTTCAAACATGACACAGTCAGGACCGCATCCAGATCTTTCAGACCCTGCAAACTGCCAGAACGTGACTTGTCGGCAATCCTGAAAAGTGCTCGGCTTCACCCTGGCATACTCGTCCATTGCGCGTGCTGCGAGAGCCTTGTACAGCACAGCTGGAGCATGCACCAGAGATTTCAACTGCCTGAGCAGTTTTCTGCAATCTCCGCGGCTCATGTGCTTGATGCTTGACACTTCAGGCATCCCGTCCATCTTGGCAGCTGCTGTCACAGTCTCCGGCCGCTCTTCGCGACAATCCCCTGTCAAATCACTCCAGACTTGCTGTCGCGCTGATTGCGGCACTTGCTCCGGAATGCGATCCTCCCCGCGATCTTCCAATTCACGCATCACCGTGCCAAACTTGGATTTCAAGACGCCCAGCTCTTGCTTCCGCAGCTCTCTGAGACCCGATTCCTTCTGACGCCTCCTGGGAACACTGATGAGCCAGGACTGGGTTTTGTTCTTGGATGACTCCAGAAGAGCATCGACTTCCAACTGGACTTTGTGCGCGTCGTCGCTGCAACTCTCCAGCAAGGCCTCAACATCGTCCAAGGTGTATCCTAAATCTTCCAAGAGAGGAAGCAGCGCTTCGGCTTGTCGACGCCTGCCGCCATTGCCGCCGCCACCAGGCCAAGAGCTGGACTCCTCCAGCCGTTTTCGCTCTATTTCCTGATGAACCAGCCTTTGCATGTGCGCCTTCTTGGCATGTTTGGAAGTAAGCTGCGGGTTCAAAGCCGATGGTCTCAAACCCAGCTGGCCAGGAGTCGATGTGGAATTCACATCAAGACACGAGGCGCCAGTATCTTTTGTGCTCTCTGGGTCCGACCCATCCGAGAATGGAAGTGATGACAAGTCAGCAGGGTTCTTCAGGCTGCCAGGCACAAAACCACGTGGTGCTGAATAGCCGCTGTTCAAACCAAGCATGCTGTGCAACAAGGACTCGTGACCTTCAGGCGATGGCCAAGTGTGGCTGCAATAGTCCAAACAGTTTTGGAGCAACTCGCTATGCTCCACAGGAGATACAGCTTCCAGCTTGTGTATTCTGGGTGATGGTTGATTGAAATCGAGGAGCTCGCAAGACTCACTGGAAACATCAGAACCTTCTGTCGAATCCAACCAATAAGCTTCTTCGCCTGCATCACTGCTAGAACCAGAAGTTATTTCTTCGATTTCTTCGTCGGAAGCGATCTCCAAAGCATCGTCGCTATCAACAGCCATCACGCACTAAACCATGGCATGTAGAAATGCAGCCCGATGCATATGACTAGAGATGAAACAAAAACGTAGACCACTCTCCTTCTGCCTTGGTGAAAGATGTGCAAGGTACGGGGCCCGTGCTGTCGTCTTCTCTTTTCTGCTCAGTCACCTCTCAGCTGTGAGGAAGGACGTTTCATGCGCTTGGAAATTGCAGCGATCAATTACGGGGCCGCCCTGCCCCCCCCCCCGGTGCTGCATGTCTCGATCAACTGATGGCTGCGGGTCCAACCATAGGAACAACTCGCACCTGCAATCTATTCTGGCTGGTTTTGCCAAAGGTCCCAGGCACATGCTGTTTCCGATTTTTCACTGCCAAGCACTTTGTGGCATGTCGAAATCTTCCTTACCCAGCTGTGGCAAAGTGTCTAAAGCTGCACGGGCTGCCTCTTGCACAAATGTGGCTTCGTCATTCGCACCATAGCTCAGAGATTCTCTCGCCAACTTTGTAAGTCCTCAACGTGGTGACGTGGCAGCTTTCCGCGGTGGGTTTTGGCAGATTGAGGCTGGCCATGCCGGCCTTTGTCAGCTCGGCCAATTTGGCCAATGGAAGAGGCGCAGGCCTCCCGTGTCAACGACTTCAACAGGGATGCGTGTCGAAAGTCCTGGCCTCACGCACCAGTTCAGCAGGATCACTGCGGAGGCTGTTTGCCAAAGCTAGAAGGCCAGTGTCGCCGGCAAGCTCCGCCCGGGCGCCCAGCCTGAAACGAGACGCTCTGGCAACAATAAGATCTGCAGGTGCATGCTTGCACGAGAACTGCACGGTTGCGGCGCAGGCACCCGCACACACACACACACACACATGTATATATATATATATATATATATATGTATATATACTAACGAAATCAACAGTGGCATCCAACTCGAATTGCGTGCAGCTGCTACATGACACTTTAGGAAGATCAGGGTGGACGGCGAACCCATACGTGAATGCACAAACAAAAAGCAAAACAAAGGCATGCATGAAGCTGCATGCTCCAACGGCAAGCGCAGGTCATCCTTCGATGCTGTACACTATGCCCTATGCATACTCCACGCATCACCACCACTTCAGGGGTGCAGAGCACTGCATGAATGAAGTTGACGTCACAACTTAACTTGCTGTGAACTTGCAGCAGACAGCCACTTTTGGCTCTCTTCCCATACGCATGGACAACGTGCTGTCACCATGCTGTTTGCTACATAGACGAGCTGCTCACACTCACAGATATTATGGATTTGCAGTGTGTTTCTGCGTGTGCGTGTTTGTGTGTTTGCGGGTTTGTCTGTTTGTGTGGTTTGTGTTGTTTGTGCTATTGTGTGTTTGTGTATTTGCATGTGTTCTTGTGATCTTGTGTGCTTGTGTGTTCATGTGTTTGTGTGCTTGTATGCTTGTGTGTTTAGGTGTTTGTGTACTTGTGTGTGTATTTGTGTTATTGTGGCATTGTGTTTTGTGTTTGTTTGTGTGTGCTTGTGTGTTTGTCTGTTTGTCTGTTTGTCTGTTTGTCTCTTTGTGTCTTTGTGCCTTTGTGGGGGTCTGTGTGCAAATATACGTACAAGCATATGCACACTTGCAAGTTCCATTCCAGACAGTTCACACACCGAGCGTGTATGCCAGCATGCATGGCGCCCCTCTCGGCTTCCGACGCTTGCGCAACCCGTATTCGAAGAAGCAGCTGCTCGTCGGACTGCTTGTCGGGGTGGCTGGAGTCATCCCGGAGCAAGCTTACCAGCCTGCAAGTGACACAGGAGATCTGCCACAGCTTGCTTGCGCGAGAGCAAGCAAGCGGGCCTGTCCACGCAGTCGCGGCCTGCAACACCGCTCCATCCAACTGCGAGCACAGCACAGCCCCTCACCTGCAGTCGAAAATCGTCGCGGCATGACATCCAGGAGCTAAGACTATTGAAGCTCCACTGCAGGTTGCCATGGGATTCCAGAAAGCCAGCCTCCCAATCCTTGTGCTCCAGCCCACCATCTTCCAAAATGGCCTCTAAACCATCACGGCCCAAGCATCCGAGAGCGCGGGCGGCTGCCTCTCTCACCGAGACGTCGCAGTCCTGCTTGATACATTTCTACATCGGACTGCAGTGTCACCCCACTTTTGCCATGAAATCGCTCGCTAATCAAACAAAGCAGTGGGAATCAGTGTAAGAGCAAAGCTGCAGCTTTCCTGCACATCAGCATCTGCTACAGGTGGCATCGTCTCATGCATAAAAACCCGCTGCCTGCTTGACTAGCCTCAGCAGCCTGGGCACAGCGCGAGGCGATTCTGCCGCTGCTGGTCCGAAGTTGCCCAAAGCTTCAGCTGCCGCTTTCCTTCCACGAGCCTGATGCCACTCCGAGGAAAGCTAAAAGCAGCGTTAGAATTAGACACTTGAGTTCAGTGCGACTGTATAGCTTACATCTCCCGAACATGTTCTAGAAGCTCCTCTGGATCGCGCAAACATCCAGCAATGGATGCCAGCATGGTGCAGGAGTCAGGGATCGAATGCGAAGGTCCCAACCTTACATCAACCACTAAAGACATCATCGCCAAAAGCAAGGCTCTGAGCTGCTCACTCTCCCAGGAGACGCAAGCCACGCAGCCGGGCTGACAGCGCCTCCTCTCCTTCGACAGCACTCAACACAGCAACATCCATGTACCATATTCGCTGGAATTGTCTCGTCCTGGCGACTCGGGAAGCAATAGGCCAACCGGTCCGCCCAGCTCTAACAACCATGCCGCGACCGAGGCCGCAGGAACAGTGGCGAAACTCAAGGAAGAGGAAGTCCATGCTGCGATGGCTTGTGCTTCGACTGCGGACATGAGCTCTCCTGCCGCCGCAACTGGTACATAACCATCAAAAAGAAAGGAACCTCGACCCCGAACCACAGCTAGAACTCCTGATGATGAGTTCTTCGGCCACCAAGATCGCTTCTTTTTAGTGGCAGCTCGTGCACCAGCAGCAGACTGCATGTCAAGACACATCTCCTGGAAGCAATGCTATTCCAAGCACAGACTGATGAACCTGTTACCCTGAATGTGCAATCAGAGCCGGTGGCGAATAAGTGCGAGTGCCGCGAGACAGACGGTCCTTCTGAAGCCCTAAAACAAGCAGGCTTCCTGAAGCGTCTCGGAGACAACAGCCGCATCTATCTCGACATTCAGGGCATCCTGAGTTTCAGCTCTGCCTTGTTCACGACGGTGCCCTTCTTCCACGGAGCACGACGACACACGACAGTCTCGGCTTGCTGCTGTGTGAAGCTGCTTTGACAGTCGCAGGCGACCGATGCGACAGGCCACACGAAATGCTTGAAGCTTGGCCTGACAACATCCGCCAGCTGGAACAAAACGGAATTCGGTTTATGACCACGAAGGCACCGCACCTCCTTGCAGCAACGTGCCCACCAAACCGGGAGCTGATGATGCCTAATCACCATGTGCAGCATCCTCTCATCAACTTCCTGGGCTGCTGCACTGCTGCAGGCGGCAATGCTTCGGGCACGAGTCAGACAGCAGAACGACCTGCCTCCTGCTGACATGGCATGGACGTCGGCACGCTGGCCGCATCTTCCAAGTCATTCCCGTCCTCGATGCGAGCTCAGCATCGAAAGTCTGTCAGGCGCATAAGGCATAATTCTGCTTAGCCGCCAGAATGGATGGTCGCAATTGCAGGAGCTGCAGCTTCGAGTAGCTCGGGCCTTCCGACTCCTGCCGCACACGACCGCACTTCAGTTGTCGGTCCCTGCCACCTTCTGGTCCTGCTCCGGGCCAAGGCCAGGATGCTTCCTGGGCCACGCGACCGCTGGGCCGGAGCCGCCGGCATTGGGAGCTCCCACAGGTCGTTGTGCCACGCTTGAGTAGGTGGTTTCGGCTGCACGGCTGCCAACGAGGAAGGGCATGAGCCGACAGTCGCCGTCTCCATCTTGCCGCTCGTCCGGATCCTCCGCAGGAGTCTTTTCTGCTCCGGGCTGCTCCTTCGATCTTCCCCACCGGCCTCTACAGGAATCGCATGCAGGAAACTTTCCAAAAGGTGTTGTTTGCTCCATGCCTTCCTTTCGGTGCTCATGCACTGCTGCTGCTTCCTCCTTTTCGGCTCTGGAAAAAAGTTGAAGCAAAGGCCTGAAGCCATACTGGTAAGTGCCGCAGTTCTCTGGCGTGTACTTGTGGAGTTGGGTGTCAACATGTTGCACAGTCTGTCTCTCGATTCTCTCGTTTAAGCCGTCTACGGTACCGGAACCACCAAGACAAAGTGGAACAACAAGGCAAATGTACTTATCCCCTGGCTCGTTGAGGTAAACACTCGCTCGTTGAGGTAAACACTCAAGGCCACGGAATGGATGATTAGAGGCAGTGTCCGCCCAAACAGCCGAGAGCTTTGAATCCACCACGTCCCGGGCAAAACAGCAACATGACAAGAAGCTTTGCTCAAAGGAGGAAAGTAGCAGTGTTTTCGGGGCTTTGTCCGATTCTGAGATATGCAGACCAACGGGCTAAGGAACAGCGCCAGCAGCTGCAGCCGTCGTCGTCGGCGTCATCGTCGTCGTCATCTATCAGCAGTGGAAGCGTCGTCGCCACTGCCTGTCGTGGTCGTTGTAATCAATAGTCGTGGTCGTCGTGCTGGCAGCAGCGCCGCAGAAACGATGCTAACAGCGGAGCAGCAGCAAGATGACGGCAAAAACGACCGCAGAAACCACACGTCGGTTTGAAGACCAGTAGAATGGGCAATAGTCAGAGCAAACTACAAGAAATGATATCGTGCACGTGGCAACCCAATTTCAACAACAACGATACACACAGCACTTACACATTTTGGGTTGACGACGCCGGAAGGCGAAGCAGAGAAGTCCCAGAACACGACGAATCGACGAATCTGGGAGAACAGAAACTGGCTGTCATCATCAGTGTTCTCTGCAACATGCCGATCCGCACTTTAAGCTCCGATTGTGTTTGCAAAGCACAACCAGCCGATTCAAGACATATGGACAAAGCGACACAGCCTCGCACGGTTAAGCTGCTCGAGCTTTCTGAGGCAACTTGCTCACTTCTTTCGGCGCCACCTTGCACGGCCAAAACTGGTCATACAACCTGCTGTCAGGATACCAGCCTTGTGCATCGGCAGCTGCAACCACTTCCTCTCGTGCGGTTCACAGCATGAGCGGTCGCAGGGAGGACTCAATGTTGTTTGTGACCTATTGCAGTTGCGTTCCTCCGCGACGGTTTCTGGAACCACAACGCTTGCCGATCGAGCATCCGAATAGAGACACGCGACCTTGGACGCTTGGACAGCACATGGGACAGCATGTCAGAAGCAGGCAGCAATAAGTTGACTGCGAGGAGGTTCTGGACCTCTTGGCCAACTTCGAGTTCATCCCGTGCGACCTCCAACGGCCCATTTCAGCAGCCGGAAGAACCAAGGGACGTGTCATGCCTGGTTGGGGAGCAGTGCCGGAGCTTCTTGCCTGACACGAGCGGGGCACAACCTCTCTGTTCACCTCTGCCAGTGGACGACCTGACCTTGCTAGATTCGTCTCTCAGGATGCTGCGAAGGCAGCTTGAGCAACACGCCGTGTGGTGCCGCAGACCTTGCATCAGATGCACACGCTTTGGGCCCCGGCCGCCTATTTGCCTGTGAACCTTAGGTGTTTGGCAGAACGACGCCACTGGAAATCAGGTCGCCAACATCGAAAGCCGGCGGAGCCATGTGTGAGCATTCACCCTCCACTGTTCTGTCCCAAGTAGTCACTGTCATTATAATGTCGAGTTCAACACGTACTGAGGACCCACGGTAGACACGTGTGGGGTATCTCATGACATGACGTTCCTCGAGTGGCTTCGGGCTGGACTCGTGAAAACAACGCATTTTAGTATCACACACGAAAGCGACGAATGCAATGTGATTCCGAATTTTCATCTCAGCGATGAGCTCCAGCAGACCTCACTTTTTGCTATCTGGCTGGAACTGAACGAGGCAGGAAACCGACAAGTCAATTAGCCGCCACCTGTCTCGCTCGTCCAACGGTCGTGAAATATCTTTGCCGCATCCTCACACTGAATGACCAAAGATGTGCGGACAGCTTCAACTGCTTAGGTGATGCGGTTTCAGCATGCGAATGCGAAAAGGTTCGCCCACTTTGTCTCAGCTGGCCCGGGTATGCACTTGCACGCCACGCATCCTCAGCTGCACAATGCTGCCCGAGCTGGCCACCAGAAAAAGTTGAGGATGATCTATATACCTGTTGGGCACTACCACATCTGGCACTGAGACCCCGGCACGAGCTCAGTGTCGAACCCGAGTCTGGGGTCATTCAGCCGGGCAGTGTGGGTCCAGCACCTCTACCACCCCCGTACTACTTACGACACGGAGAGCCGCCTTCAATCATGTCTTTTTCTAATAACATGGAAGACACAAAGAAAGACATGCTTCTGCGATGGGGGTCTCCTTGCGGCTAGGAATGGATTTCGGCTCATGGTGATTTGCTGAGGGAAGATCCGTTCCACTGCGGTGGCCACGCGGCCCAGGCTTGGAACCTCAGCCAACAGCCGACTGCTTTACGACAGAAAACACGCCGCCGAGACATTAGTCTTCTGCTGTCGAGTGAGGCAGGCACCATTCCTGGCCCGGACCTCGGCTATGCGTCAGATCTGCACACAGGAGACGCGCCCCATAGCTGCAACATGCTGCAACACAGGCACTTGGTGGCGGCTGCCAGGACGGGGCCGGAGGAGCATGAGCTGGATGCCATTCTGCTGGGGTTGGGACTGCTTGGGCGGGGTGCGGTGGCGGCTGCCACGCAGGAGCTGGAGCAGGATGGGCTGGATGCCACTCCGCTGTTGCTGCGGCCGCTTGGACGGCGTGTTGCCATTCTGGAGCCGGGTGCGGCGGTGGCTGCCATGCAGGAGCTTGAGCAGGATGGGCTCCGTGCCATTCTGCTGCTGGAGCTGCTGGAGCTGCTGGCGCTGCTGGGGCACCTGCGGCTTCCTCCCATGCTCCCTGTCGGTCTCGCGATCTGGACCGTTCGCGAGGAGGTATATGGACTGGCCTCAAGTCACGTCGAAGGGAATTTCCGCATCTCTCTGCCGCTGTAGCTACCAGTTTCTTGTCCAAGCTGCGGTGGTGCTCCAGGACCACCTGGCATGAAGGTGGCCGGCATTTTCATCCGCGCTTGCCTCAGGCTTCAGAAGCCACCGGCACGACACCTGCTAATGCTGACGAAGCACAGATTCCACAAGTTGAGCTGCATCTTGCATTCGAGAAGCTCATTGCCCAGCATGACTGGAGCCAGCTGTCGAAATTGCGGTTGTCCACCCTGAAACCCGGCCTTACTACACGGGATCTTCTCGTGGTAACAGAGACACACTGAGACAAAGCGAGCGGCAGGAAGCATTGTCCCAGGTGGCAGCCACTCCTTCACGACGCCAACACTTTCGAGAAACTGACTATTCGAAGATGTGTTGGACCAGCGATGTGTTAGACTTCCAAGCATATCCTGCGCAGAAGGCATGAAGGACACAGCACCTGTCCAGCCAAGCACCACACAAACGGTCTTGTTCGCAAACAGGGTTTACAGATGACCGCAAGGGAACCTTGGGGCTTGTGACCCGATCTCTCATCACAAACGAAGACACCAGGCTGGTATACTCGACCTTGCAGGCTTGCTGAGCAAAGCACAAGCCCGTACGGTGTGTGGCAAAGACGAGCCCGCTACCGCCGGTGCTAAACGGGTTTGCGCCGGTGCTTGCAGCCTGCAGTTTCTGCTTGTGCGCCAACGCTGCGGCTGCCTGGCAGACAGTAGATTCTGAGCCCGAGCTTCAAAATTGAAGTTTGGGATTGAAGTTGGCATGGCTGTTTCTGGCACCTTCGCCGCCTCTTCTATCTCTCGTTCCTTTGCGGCCTCTTCCTCAGCCTCCTTGATCAGCATCTGGCATGCGGGCGGAAAGGATCGTAGCGCTTTGCATCGGCAACGGGAATAGGTGTGCCTCCTCGCTCAACAGATCAGCCTGCAGCATGTGCCGCATGGACGTACACGGGCCGGCTCTGCCGATGGCCCAGACGAGCCCAGAGAGCCGAGCCTGCTTCTCTGCGAGTTCCAAAGCAAGTTTCCTGTCCTGTAGAATGCTGGATCAGACCACATGTTCGAATGACAGGGCAGACTGCAGCGACGTCCTCTTCATTCTGAACTATACTAGCTGTCGTCCCGCTTGCTGCCTGGAAGACGGCTTCAAGCACGATTCTGTGCATCGGCATTTGCGACTAGACTGGCATCACTTCAATGGGATGCGAGCTGATGATGCAGGCGCAGGCTTTGGCTTTTCCGGTGGTGGCGGCCTGCGAAAAAAGGACCTTTCGATGCCTTCCCCCCTACGACCATGTGCAAAGATCTGTTGGCCCAGTGGCTTGGAAGGCTCGTCTTTCCGTCCCAAGCTCAGCAGAGATGCCAGGGACATCAGTGCCTGAAAGACCGCCAACGCTTTGGCAGCATTTTCGAAATTGTACAGCAGAAGATACCCTTGGCAATGCTTCTGGGACAGCCGGGTCAACGACGGCCAACGCACGCCAGTCGAAGCCAGCTACCGGAGCGGAAGGACGTCGTTGCTTTGTCTAGCCTTTTCGTGGTATGCCTAAGCCGCCTGACTGTTCGGCCCTGGCCCTGATGGCCCTTGGGGTCCATGGTCAATGCAATGCTTTCAGTTGTGCATCTGTGGCGCACACACAGACACACACGCCGGGTCATGTCACCGGCTGCTGCTATTGCTCACTATGCCTTTGGCACTCTGGAGTGGTCTGGCTGGGCGCTGTGAAGCTATCGTTTGGTGGAGGCCTATCAACAACCCGAAGCTGCCGACCAAGGCTAGCAGCGGCTAGCGAAGCCTTGGAAGCTTGAGCCGGACGCGACATGTGACATGGGCAAGCCGCAAGCTGCCATGAGTCGTCCTCGACAAGCCAAATGGAAGCAGGCAATGCAGACACCAATAGTAAAACCCAGCACAAGCAGTGGCTTCCAACAGGACCGATTTGCTCGGACAAGGCTGTGGCCCAAAAGATTCTCATCGTCATCGGTGCACGCTGGAACACAAAATGTCTTAAGACCAGCCAGGGTGATACGTTTTACACCGGCACAACACCAAGTGCATGGCCAACATGGTCTCAACCGATCTGAAATGGTGCGAAACATAAGTCCTCGGCATAGCCTGTTGCCGTCTCACTTGCACGAGTTTAGCACAGCATTCCAGGGTCCCAGGATCATGTCAACGCAAAAGACAGGCATCTTCCTAGGCCGCAGCCCACGAGCCTCAGGCCCCTGCTGAAGTCAAACTGCAATACCAGAATGTCTTGATTCCAATCAGGGTGCGCACACACACGCACCGACAGACAGAGAGCGACATTTGTCCGCAGACTCCCACATGCAGTCACTGACCACTTCACCTGATTTAGAAAGTGAATACGATGAGCTTCACGGACCCCTGTGCTGCATTTCGAACCCAAGTATGAAGATTTCAGAGTGCCGAAGCCCGCGCACTTTTTGTCACCACAACATCAGCCCATTGGCCTGACATTGCCGGTTTGTCCTCTGAGTGCGTGTGGCCTTCGGCCTCAGAAACGCTCGAATGCATCGCCTTCAACCAACCTACGAATGCCTGCTCCCTTCTCTATCCCTTCCCGGTCTTTCTTTCTCTCTCTTTCTTTCGCCAGGGCCTCTCTCTCTCTCTCTCCCTCCCTCCCTCCCTCCCTCCCTCCCTCTCTCTCTCTCTCTCTCTCTCTCTACCGGGCGTGGGGGCAGAGCGGCGTCCAGGCTCAGACCCCCGTGCGAGTTCGCACACCCGCGTTTCGCGGGGTCTCACAGTCCCCCAAAAAGGTTCTTCCTTGTCAGGGCTCAGCTTTACAAGAAGTGTGGGTGTGTGAGGCTCCCCCCCTGCAGCAACAAAGCAACACTTGGGCACGACAAAAGTTTAGCAGTTCCATGGTTAACTATGGAGGAGCCTCCCCTCCCTTTTGTCCGGCACTCGCTCCCCTCACAGAGCACTCTGCTGTACTGGGGACTGAGGCCCGGGCCAACGTGAAGCTGTAAGGTCAGGGCTGAACAAAAGTAGAAAACATGGTTACATCAAAAGGACACCCCCCTGTTCAGCTTGAGTTGGCTTCATATACTACTCGGAAGGCATGTCCCCCCTGAGTGTCTCGAAGTGGGAGTGAAGAGGTTAAAACTATAACAAGGCAGAGTCTCCCCCTTCGAGCTCTCAGTAGGGGCCATGTTTTCCATAGAAGGCTGCTTGCAATCTGCGTCGACGGTGGCTGCCGCCGTCGTCGTCATCTTGACGTGGACTACGGCTACGCCCTCTCTCAGTACTTGTCGGACGCGGATTCCCCCCTTCGAAGTGGCCATGCCATGGGACTGTCGGCGCTTCGCTCTCTGGCTGAGTGGGCAGGGTGTTGAGATCCCCCGCCGCATTGACAGCTGCCTGCAGACTCGGCGTCATCAGGGCTGCCATTTCTTGTGCGGTGAGCGCCCCCCGCTGCTGGTCGGTGGTCTCGGTCTGAATCGTCCCCTCCGCCGTGTTGTCGCGAAACTTCTCCGTGCGGTCGTCGTGGTTCACGGTCTCCCTGTTGTCCGGCATCTCCCTTTGTGCCGGTTGAGGGGTCTCCCCTGTTTGGGTGCTCTCGGTGACGGCATGCACCCCTCCAAACAGCGACTGCTGCCAGGCTTCCAGTGCATGCAGCATCTCCACGATAGGCATCAGCACATGATCCCCCACAAATGGGACCACGTTGCGGAGTCGAGTAGCTGCCCTGAGTAGCTGTGTGGTGGCCGACCCCGTCTGGCTTGTTCTGGCAGTCCATTCTCCGTGTGCTTCCCCCGCCAAGCCGATAACATCAGCCGGGTGGGCTTGCGTGGTGTCGGGCTCCATGGTTACGGCTTCCCCTCGTCTGGTGGCAAGTAGAGCTGCAGGGGCAAGTAGATCATGCAGCGCATTCCACCAGGTCAAGGTGTTCCATGTGCGGTCCCCCCCCATGGTGGGGAGAATCGCTTTGTCCACTCGGTTGTAGGCTTCTCGAAGCTGGCTGGAGGCTTTGCTGAGGGAGCTCTGCGGTACATCCCCCGGCATGGGATCATTCAGCTCCCCTAAGCCTGCCTCGATCATGGCTCGTAGCTGGCTGAGGTCCGTGGCATACTCCTCTGGCGTGAAGTCTTCCCCCCGGCGAACTCGCATGGATGCCACGAATCTGTACGCCTCGCTGACACCCGATGGGCCGGCAAAAGCTGCACCCGTCCCCCGCGGTTGCATGTGGGGGTAGCTCTCAGCGTGGCTCAGCATGCGCAAGGCGATGGCGCAAATATTGGAGATAATCTCTCCATCACGGTTTGCCAGGCCATCGGCGATCTCGTGGATCATCTGGATCTGTGCCGTCGCCGCTTGGATGGCTCCCTGCTGTGCTGCCAGTCGGGCCTCTGCGTCCGGGCGGTCTGTGGAGCTGCTTGCCCGCCCTTCGCCTGAGGGGTCTTCACGGACTGGTGTCACCTGTTGGGCTGTTGGGTCCCCCGAGCGGTTCCGGTTCTGCGACGCCCATTGCGTAGTTGGTGGAGAAGCGGTGTGCGTCTTCGTCGGCGGACCAAGCCCACATTCTCCTCATCCGTGGTCGTCCCGTTGAGCTCCCCCTCGGCGTCATGCGAGCATGCCGTTGGAGAGGTCGGCGTGGTTGAGGTAGTCGACGTTGTAGCGACTAGGTATTCTTGCATCAGCTCCGCGCCGTCGTGTTCCCCCTGTGGTGACGGTGAGGGGCTTGGATGGCCGAACCGCCTACCGTCACGGATCTGGTGAAACCATGGAGTGGGAGTCGGTGGCGGTTGTTGTTGTGCCTGCGCTGCCGCCTGTTGTGCTGCATGCTGTGCTTCCTGACTGGATCTGCGAAGTGTTCGGCCGTCCGAGAGCGGGTCGCGTGGTCTGGCCGGTTGCTGGGGCGGCTGTGGTTGTTCTGGCTCCGGTTCTGCCGGGGCTGGTTGCTCGTCTGCTTGTGCCGGAGGCGGTTCCCCCTCCTGTGGTGTTTGTTGGTGGTGGCTGTCGTCCTGGTGGTCTGGTTGTGGCGTGGCTTCTGCAGTGTAGAAGTGGGAGGGTGTGGTGGTGGTGAACTGTATGCTCCAGTGTTGTTGGTGGGTGGACGGCACTTGGGTGACGGTGGCTAACCATCGGTGTCCCGAGATCGGCTCAAGCAGCAGCCATGTTTCGCCGCTGATGGGTGGGTATACGGCGACTGGCATGCTCATGTGGGGTGGTGGCGTGGTTTGCCCGCTGCTGGTCGGGACGTCCTGTTGGTACTCTATTCTGCTGAGCCATTTGCCAGCTCGCAGAGCCGTGTGGGTGGCACCGGTGATGGTTGAATGGGGCAGTGGTGGTGGTGACGATTGTTCCCCCCCTAGTGAAGGAGGGCGGGGTTGTTGTGGTGTGTCCCCCGAAGGCGATGGTGGTGCTTGACGTCTTGGTGGGTAGTAGCTGGTGGCTGTGGCAGCTGCCGTCCCCCCGTCGTCTGCATCTGGATGCCAGTAGGGTGTGTATGTGTCTGCCTTGGTGGGCTCGTGTTGCTGTGTTGTGTCGGGGCTGTTTCCATCGGTGGCTGCCGGTGTCTTCTTGTGGTGGTTGGAGGTGTGGTGGTAGTGGCTGGCCGGGGTTCAGCATGCGGAAGTAGGCTGCCCTCTCCTCTAAGCTCATCTGTGGTGGTTGCCATGTTGTCTGGGCCGGGTCATCGTCATCTGCGGGTGTAGCTGCAGGTTGGCTGCCCCTAGGTTGCTGTGGTGGGGACGGGCCTTGGCCCAGCAGGTGTTGTCCCCATTGTGTGTGGTGGAGGTTGTTGGCCTTTAGCCAGCGCTTGATGCGGTACTTCTCTGCTTTGTTTCTGGTGCGGTCGGGGCCTCCCCCTTCATGCTGCCGCTGGTATACTTTGGTTAGCTTCTGTGGTGCCCTCCGCTGTGAGCTGCGTCGGCGTGGCGTGTGGGTGTTGCTCTTCTCTTCCCCCCCGGCAGTGCTGCTGTCGTTGGCGTCCCGGCCGTCGTCGGGGAAGTGGGGTAGGAGCTCCCTTTCGATATAGCTTGCGGGAATCCCCCCGTTGTTATCCATACGTAATGCTCACGCATGGTCATCCCGGGAATAGCTCGTGTGCCACCCGGTGGCAAGCGTGAGCCAGTCACCGATTCAAATGGGGCTTTGATGTTGAGGCGTGGCTGTGCGCTTCCCCCGGCTGCCGCTGGTGTGGTGTCGGTTTGTTGGCCTCCCCCGTCAGGTGGAGGTTGTGTGTTGTGGCCGGCGGTTGCATGTGGTGTTGGTGGTGTATGCTGGGCGTCGGCTTGCTCTGCTGTGGCGGCTGCCGCAAGTGGTGGCGTGGATGCTTGCGGTGGTTGGGTGTCTGCATGGTGTTGGCTGGCTTGCGCTTGCTGTGGCATCACCGGTGTGGTTGG